CATGTCCTCTGTGCTTATCCTTCACTGCTAACTGGCTGCATTTGACATCGTCCTTTTGTCCATCCTGTCCAGCACTGGGACAGCACACTCCTGGTTTGAATCCTGCCTCAGAGGTCGATCGTTCAGTGTGTCCTGGCTTGGTGACACTTCCACTGCACACAGCCTGACCTCAGGGAGTTCCTCAAAACGAAGCACTGGGACCTCTCCTCAGGGCCAGATCATCTCATTGCATGGCTCCTCCCACCACTGCTATAATGATGATACCCAGTGTCAACATGAAGCCTAGATGGTCTCTCTGATATATCAACATGGATAGAAGCTCATAATCTCCAACGAAACCTCTGCAGAACCAAACGTCTCGTCTTTCCAGGCAAACCACCCAGAAAGCTCAATATTTCAAAAGAAACTGGTGGAATGGAGGCGTTTTTGTATCTCGGGGTCTTGTTCACGAGTGAGGGACAGATGGAGCGTGAGATTGACAGGCAGATGGATTGGTGATGCGTCTGCAGCGATGCGGGCGTTGCACCGGTCTGTCGTGGTGGAAAGCGAGCTGAGCCAGAAGGCAAAGCTCTCGATTTACCGCTCATCTACGTTCCTACCCTCACCTGTGGTCACGAGCTTTGGGTAGTGACCGAAAGAACGAGATCACAGATACAAGCAGCTAAAACGAGTTTTCTCCGCAGGGTGGCTGGGCTCTCCTTTAGAGATAAGGGTGAGAAGCTCGGTCATCGGGGAGGGGCTCGGAGAAGACCTGCTGCTCCTCCACATCGAGAGGAGCCAGTTGAGGTGGCCCGGGCATCTAGTCAGGATGCCTCCTGGACGCCTGCTTGGTGAGGTTTTCTGAGCACGTCCAACTGGGAGGAGACTTAAAGGAAGACCCAGGACACTCTGGAAGCACTCTGCCTCAGCTGGCCTGGGAACGCCTTGGGATTCCCCCGGAGGAGCTGGCCCAAGTGGCTGGAGAGAGGGAAGTCTGGGCCTCTCTCTTCAGGCTGTTGCCCCGCGACTCGACCCCAGATAAGCAGATGAAAATGGATGGATGGATAAAATCAGGTGTGCTAAAGCAGAGGAACAAGTTAAACATGCTGGATAGTGGATACTGAAGATCAGGGTACATGATAAATGACCTGCACAGAGGTCAGAGGACTCCAAAGTGCTTTACACTACAGCGCATCAGTCATCCATTCACACACTGCAGGTGATGAGCTACATTGTGGCCACAGCTGCCCTGGGGCACACTGACAGAGGCGAGGCTTTTCGAGCACAGGCACTACAAGTCCCTCTGACCACCACCAGGAGGAAGGTGGGATAAGTGTCTTGCCCAAGGACACAACAACGTTCTCTGGCAGGAACCGGGATCTAACCTGCAACCTTCCAATTACAAGACAACCTGAACTCCTTCCTGAGCTACTGCTGCCCAAGGGTAGGAGAGCACTAGTCTACAAAGTCCTCGTGTGAAGGCTGACTCTGTCCCTCTGCTTATCTCAGGATGTCTGCCAGCAGCGCCAACGCCACGCTAATGCCAGACCCAGCTCTTCAGAGAGCTTCTCCTACCCGTAACCTGTGACTGGATTTCTTCCCTCTGACTAGGATACCTGCAGTTTTGCTTCCTTATTTGTATTTTTGATCATTCTTTAGGATAAAAGCATCTGCAGGATACATATACGGTAAACAGACACCTTCACACCACATCGACCCCCTCAAACTTTCTGCAGACGACCTTCTAAACCTCAGACCATCTCTGATCCCTCACACCATCAGTCATTCAGACCACATAATAACCATCACATTCCCAAGTCAGACAAAAGACACTTGAGACTTCTATGTGTTGTGGTTGGTGGACCTCACAATAATCCAGACTCCTGCAGGACAAAATGGATAACCAGAGAACTCCCGAACCTCCGTCCGGTTATGGCGATCAGAGCTAACAGTGAACAGAATAGCAGGAATCAGGTTGTTTCATGGATTTGTGGTTCTGTCACGAACACACGAGCTGAGATTCAGACTGCAAAAGATGCCGAGAGCCCCAGAGTGGTGTGGACGGTTTCTGCGGTGCTTGTGTTAGTCTCACCGTTTTCCTTATGGCTGCGTTGGAGTGTTCTGCTGCTGTCGCAATCAGCTCCAGAGACTCTGCAGAGAAACAAACGCCACCTTTAGGGAAAGCAGGTGACCCCACTAGCCTTTAAGCTTGGTTTATGCTTGACGCGTTCACTTTCCGCGCGGTGATGCGGCTCACGGATGGAACGCGCTTCACAACTCGCAGCGTTTATGGTTCGTGCGGCTCGTCTCTGCGGTGAGCCAATATTCTCCCAAACTGTAGGGGGCAGCATGGAGCTCTACGGCATGCATCCAACACTACACCATAGTAGAAGTAAAAATTACTGTTGTTTACAACATGGCATTCCAGCATTTTTAACAGCGTTCTCGTCTTTTCCGACAGTGCGAGCTATTTCTCTCCAAGAATTATTAACAACATGTTGATCACGGTGATCTCTGAGAGCTGAATCATACAAATGTCTGTATTTACGAACCTCTGCCGTACTAGTTCTTGCCGGTCCGCCATGTTTTTCCGCGTCCGTCCGTCCGCGTGGTTAGAAATTTTCCGAGGTGCGCGGCACGGAAATTCTGGGCCGTGCGGAAGCGCGGTGGAGGGGCGTGGTTATTAAAATGACGCAACTTTTCCGCGCGGAGCCGTGCGGACCGCGCGGACGCGTCAAGCATAAACCAACCTTAACCCATGTCTGGACAAGCGGCGGCTGCCTGATGGCGAGAAGATGAGTTCAATGGAGCTCTACGGGAACTTCATCTACAGGTGGAGTTATGGAGGACCAATGGGTGGAGTTATGGGTTAGGCTTATGGAGCTGTTTGGGTGCGCTTGTTTTCCTACTCTGGGCATCTCTGTAATCCGGAGCGTCCTCTGGGAGTCGGTTCAGGTAGTCCTTGAGCAGAAGCTCGTAGCGAGGAATCCTCTGAACTGGCTCCAGCATGTGGTGCTGCAGGGTCAGGTTCCCACAGCGCTCTTCTCTCTGCACAAACACACCACGTGAGCTCTTGACCCGACGCGCAGAGCCAGAACGAGAAGCTCATACCTGGATTTCCTGGATGATGGTTTTAAACTGGGATGATCTTTCCATCCATGTGTTTACCAGTTCCATGGCTCGGTCAAAGTTTTTCACATATTCTCCGTACATCTTAAGAAAAGGAGCCAACTTCTGCAAGATGTCGCCAATTCGTGGGTTTGAGTCCCTGCATGAAAATCAGAACCACGTTGAAGCGTCTCCTGTGGAGGAGTAGAATAAAGGGAGGTGGCAGGCACAGATTCTCACCACTCCTCCATGCGTTTCTGCAGAGCCGGCAGCAGGAACTGCTGATGAAAGCAGTAGATGGAGCAGATGTTTGAGAAGATTCCCTGAATGACATCGGGAGGGAAGAAGGGGCGAGACTGAGCTTCCTCCATGAGTCTGGCACAGAAGACCTGCAGAAGGAGGAGGGCGAAGAGGAGTCAGGCATTGATACCTTTAAATATCTGGGGTTGCTATGGCAACGGACAAGCGCTGAATCTCTCCCAGTTGATGGCACTGCAGCTAGGGAGGCGGTGGAACTCCTCGCCTCCTCTGCTGCTATTGGCCCTGCGCGACTCACCTGATCCAGCAGGTGGAGCTTAGATACGTAGGTGAGCTCCGTGTGCAGCAGCTCGTTGGCAATGTTGAAAACTCTCTGATGGACGGACAGCTGGACACAAAAACACAGACGTGATTGGGTAGGTCTAGGGTCAGAGGTTAGGGTTAGGTGCCGCCTTTGCACCACCGCAGCGGCGCTTTGCAGTAGAAACAGCTTTTATTTTAAACTCTTACCATCGTTTATTTTCTACCTGCTGCCCCGATCCTGTTCAGGATTAAACGGTTCTGAAATTTAGTGAGCAAGAATCTTTTACTTTGAAATTTTCCTGAATTATTGTGCCAGTAAAGAGACGCGGTGCTGGTTTCTGATCGTCCACCGAACTGCTGGACCTGCAGCAGCAAACAACACCGAGACTAACCCGTCGACCTGAGATGACGCGGACTACCTGCCTGACCAATGAAACGCCTGGGTCGCATCTCTAACTGGCGGGAAGTGATCGGCACCACGTTTACGATTCTTCCCATGTTGGATTGTCGGGATTTTCTCGACTTACCTCGGCAGAATCCTGTCTATCAGTCTTGGGAGGGGTTAGCACGAGAGTCAGCTCCACCTCCTCGTCGAGGTCACTGTCTCCCTCCTCAGACAGCCCCCTTCCTCTAACTCCTCCTCTCATCTCACCTTCGTCCCCCTCACCTCCCTCTCCGGCATAAGACGATGAGCTGGAGAGGCGGGGAAGGAGGGCGGGGCTACAGGGATAGGCCACAACTCCATCATCCACGCCGGCAAAGCAGAATTCCTCGCTGTGGGAGGGTGAGCTGATGCTGTCAATGCCACTGTCCCGATTAGCCAACTTCCCATCTGTCTGTGAGGAGGGGAGGGACAGACGCTCAGAGGGCAGCTCTGATTGGTCAAGAAGCAGCCTCTGCTGCAGGTCTGATGTTTCTACAGCAGCAGCATCATCTTCCAGGTGTTTCTCTGAGGTACAGCAATCAGGTTCGATGGACAAACGCTTCTCATGGGGAATGTCACTGCACGCCGCCATCAGCTCTTCATCTTCCTCCTCGTCATCATCTTCACATAACTCCTCCTCTCCATCACCACCATGTGTGATGTCATCAGGTCTTGTGGCCTCACGCAGTGACTCTCCCTCCTCAGGTAGAGGAGTGGTGGATGAGGATGACGTTGGTGGCCATGAAGGTCGAGGAGAGGGGGGGTCCAGTGGGCGGGGACACATGGCCCCCCCAGTGATGTCCGGGACCACAATAATCTGCTCCCTGTAAACAAACAACGAATGAAGAAAAACTACCAAACACAGCGATGTTATCCTTCATCTGACCAATCAGAACTCACCGCTCAAACTTCTCAATGAGTGACAACACACAAGTGGGGGAGGAGGTGCCATCTGCGTGGATTGGAGGAGTGCGTCCCCCCCATTGATCTGCTGGTATGGCTCTGCAGGGTGGTGGAGGTGGGAGGGGCTTGTCGGAGACTCGAGAGCGGAGCCTTGACCCGCCTGTCTGCTGTTGGAGATGGGGGGGCTTTGGCGGAACTACAAAGGGTGGGGGCACATGTTAAGCTCGTAACGACTCAAACATACACCAAACAGAAGACATAATGAGGTGATGTTCACCCTGAGGCTTGGGCCCTGGCAGCAGTGGTCGGATCTTGTTTATTGGTGTTATTGTGGTAGCTGGTAGCTCTGGAGGACCCGTGTCAATCACGGAGCCGCAACACTCAAGCTCCGCCCCTTCCTCTGCTGAACTGGGCCCCAAGTCAGAGCTGGACAGCTCAGGAGCATCAGTATCCAAGACCTGTTGGTGACCACATGAAGAGCAGGATGGCTCCAGAGAGAGGGTCTTACTCAGCAAGCTGGGACTGGAGGAGGAGGCGGGGCCTGAAAGACAGGTAAGAGAGGCCACATAGTGCTCCTCACGTAAAGGTGCATTATGTATGAATGAAGTAAGAATGACATCCTGTGGTCAAACTTGGTTACTACATCCCATTTTCAGAACAAAACGATTGACTTTCTCCCTCCCTTTCAGTGAGTTTCATGGCTGTTGCTGGTTCAGCGCCAGTAGCCGGGCCAAGGCGAGTCATACACTAGAAGTTGATGAACGGATAAATACATTTCACTATAATATCGAGTTCTTGGTAATTGAAACAGTAGCTTGAGATACTTTTAGAGCCGGCTAATGGTTTCTAACTCATTTTTAGCATTGTTAGCTCAACATTAGCTCAATATTAGAGAAAAACAAAAAGACGCTGTGGCTTCTTACGAGGTACGAGAAACAACTTCTGGGTCGCTCCAGTTTACTGGCTTAGGATCTTTAGAAAGCGCTGCTGTATTTTACCAGCTGGTGTCGAATGACCACGTTAGCAGCATTAGCTGGCGCAGACTCCGCAACCCTGTGGGCTTAAAGATGGTAAACAACGTCTACCATGGACGTAATTATCATTTTAGAAGTGGGGGGGACACGGGGGGGGGGGGGGATCTTTACAGTATGCTCTAATGGGAAACAGGCTTCAACACAAACGGTTGTTTTCCGTTTATTATTTCACTGTAGAATTATTGAATAATGTACCTTTAATGTCAACTAAAAATTCTATTCTCGCAAAAGGAGTTTGATGTTTTATTAGATCAGGAACGAAAGACCTTTGATTTGAAGTGCAAAGCTTTAGTTTATATTTGTTTTTTGTACTTTCCAGAAAAGAATGAGCCTTTTTAACCCTCTGGAGGCAGGCAGGTTAAAACCTACCTACCTGGTTACTCCACATACGTACTTCATGAGCATTTTTTAACTCAGAAGTACCCCTGAAGGACGTAGTTGTTTGTCCTTTTATCAAAACTCATTTTGAGCCTGAGAGGGTTGCCTCTAAACCCTAAAAGGATGAACATCTAAGTCCTTCAGGGGTACTTCTGAGTTAAAAAATGCTCATGAAGTACGTATGTGGAGTAACCAGGTAGGTAGGTTTTAACCTGCCTGCCTCCAGAGGGTTAACATTCTCCCAGTTGAACTGTAGTCTGGATTTCCCGTTAGCAATGGAAAAGCACAGCTACAGCCACAGCAGCACCATATTTCACCGTTTTCAGCACGTTTGTTTTTATCTTCAGCCTCAAACTAAACTCAGAGTCCACAGAGGTTTGATCCGATCTGGCTACTGCGGAGAATTTGGGTTTTTATGACACCTCAGATATCTAGACCCAATCTCAGAGCTCTGATCCCTTGCCTCTGCTGTTAGCATTCCTAGCTGTGTTGTAGCTTTATTAGTGAGTAATCATGATGCTACCTGTGTGACCTCTGACCCTGTTGCTTAAATGGGTCCAACTTTCCTTCATTCTCTTCTGAACTCACCTGAGGACCAGACTTCATGCTGTCTCACAGAGCAGACTTCACCACAGTGGGCTCTAGCAGAAGGCTGCATGGTGGAGCCGCTAGCACTGATGCCTCAGAGCAAGAGGGTTGCAGGTTTGAATCCCACCTCCAGCCTTTCTGGAAGGAGTTAGCATGTTCTCTCTATGATTGTGTGAGTTTTCCAAAACTTGCATGTCAGGTAAACTGGAGACTCACTGTAGGCGTGAGTGAGTCTGAGACCGGTTGATCTTGTGTGTCCTACTAGAGACACGTCTAGGCAGTGGACTGGCTTCATGAAACCACGCTTAGGAAAAAGTGGTTCAGAAGAAGAAGAGGAAGAACACTTTTGCAGATTAGAAGAGTTCAATGAGCCTTTTCCTAGGACTTGGTTTGGGAACTGAAAGTGATTCAGGCTCCTGGTTCCTGACAGACCCTTGGGTTTCAGGCCCGCTTCCCCTGACAAGAACTACACAGGGATCCTGAGGTCACCTTCAGACCTCCAGAAACTGGAGATGATGGTTTGAGTCAGATATGATTGGCTAATCATCTTTAGAAGCATCAAAACTGGGACTGGATCGTTTAAAGGTTCAGGTGTTTGGTCTGCGCTGGTCCCCCTCGAGTTTATCTGGTTCTCACAGCACACACACACACACACACACACGCACACACACACACACACACACACACACACACACACACACACACACACACACACACACACACACACACACACATTCTTGACATGAATTTGTCTCACCTTGCCTCTCCTCTGTCAGTTTGCCCCAGGGCAGCTGTGGCTACATCGTAGCTCATCACCATCAGTGTGTGAATGTGTGTGTGAATGGATGAATGATACACTGTAGTGTAAAGCGCTTTGGAGTCCTTACTCTGAGAGGCGCTATACAAGTGCGGGTCATTTATCATTTGTCTGTGCGCGTGCTAGGAGGCACAAACTTCAGCCTCAACATCGCTGGATCGGGTGTGCACGCGCACGATCGGTCGTTGTTGGGGCCTTGTGATTGAATGGTGGAATAAAACAGACATTCGATCGTGGATCAATAACAGCTCGATCAGCAAACGGTCACGTGACTGAGGCTTGGCCTGATGTCGGATCAGATCCACATCTGGCAGCAGCTGCATCCTGCAGTGAGATGTCGGTCAGTTTGTGCGCGTGCACGCCCCTCCTCCCCCGTCTCCCTGTTAACCCCCATCCGGATTATTCTGCAGATTCATTTTATTTGTCAACAGAAATCATTCAGATAGGACAGAAAAACGCCGCAGATGTGCGCGCACAGGTGTAGGCGCGTGCATGTGTTTGTGAGCGCGAGACGCAGACGCAGTTTGGACTCACCCCTGGTCGCGCTGCTTCGGTCCATGTACATCGCGCAGCAAAACACAAATCCGGTCATGAAAGAGACGTTGTTGCGGGGGAAGAGCGCGCCCCCGGTCTACAGCAGCAGAACAAACCGGGTCACACACACGCGCACTGACCGGTTCGGGCGGTCCGGACCGATAGCAGGCTGCCGCTTCAGACGGTCGATCAGCGCAGGCTGCTTCTCCCGGTGCGCGTGCGGCGACGGAGCTGGAGGGGGCGTGGATGCACGCACTCGCTTCCTGTTCGGTTTCCATGACAACAAATTAAGGAACGGGGGATGCAAACCTTTACAGGTGATGTGTGGGCTTCCTCCCGCAGACCAAAAACATGCAAATCAGGCTAATTAGAGACTAATCACTAAGTGTGTGTGTGTGTGTGGCTGTCCCGGCATCCCTGTGATGGGCTGGAGACCTGTCCAGGTGTGTCACGGTCTGAGGTGGATTCCTGCTGTCACTCCCTGTCTCTTGAGTTTTCCCTCTGCAGGTGGGCGTGTCTGGAGGTGACCAAGCTGCAGCAGATCTGTTCATCAGCCAGCCAGGTGTATTTAAGCAGCTGAGAGACTTCTACACTTCGCTGGATGATTACTCTACCTGGGTACCTTCTAAGCCACCTCTTCGCAGTACTTTCGAGCTCTTAGGACCTTTTGAGACTTTAGATGTGTTTTGGATTTTGCATTTTACCCTTCCTGCTCTCGTTCACCACATCAAACCTCCACCTTCATCCCCGACTGGCTATTCTCTGGAACTCCAACCTGCTTGTCTCTCAGCTTCTCCCTGGCCAGAACCACCTCCAACAGCCCACCTAAGCTCCCTGGATCTCCACAAACTCAGCTCCCTCCACGTCTCCCCTTCTGGATCCCAGTCTCAGGAATCCCCTCTCAGCCCAGACCGGACCACTCCTCTCTCGAGCTACTTTTCCCCCTCTCCAGACTAAGTCCTCCGCACAATTCAGATTCCTTGTTTTCCCCTTCGAGTTGGATCTAACTCCCATCTGTCCACAGATTTCCCGCACCAGCTCCCTTTGTGAAAGAACTCGGCTACGTTCAAGCTGCTTCCTTGGGTTCCCTTTTAATAAATTCTTATTTAAACCCTTTCCACGTCTCAAGCTGATCGTGTATGTCGTGGGTTAGACATCTACACCACAACATGACAAGGTGTTGTCCGCCTCTCACCTGGTGGAGGGTGCAGACACCGGTACCTGTGACCATTGTGATGAATTAGTGCAGAAAACGAATGAAGATGGCTGCAGGTTTATAGCGATTTATAGAATCAGACAGAAAAACTCTGAGTGGGATTTTCAGTTCTGGTTCTGTTGAGTTACAGCATCTCTGTCCTGGGTTGGCCTGGTCACCGAGCAGAAAAGGAGGTGCTGCAGTGAGGCAAGGTTCACAAACTCTTTTTTAATGACTGACATTAAAACAGAAGAGGCGACAGAAATAAAATCAGCTGTTTCGAACACGAGATGAAGCTCAGGGCGCACCTGAGTGTCGGCGGGCCAAGTGGTAAGGATGCTGCAACATGAGGAGTCCAGAGAGGTTTCACACCTGAAACCCACTAAACCCTAACAAGAGTCCAAACTCAGAGACAGTTCTCGGGAACCCTAACCCTGAAACTATCCTGAAAAATGTAAAAACGCTTGTTTTGCCAAATTAAAAATGTCTCAAGGGGCGGCAGCCCTAGCAGGAAGACCAGGACCATTCAGAATCTCCTCCTATACCTAAAACACCTCCCCAGTGGGAGCTGCTGGTCCACCTGATGGGACTACAAAGACCTGAGATCCTCCTGCCAGCAAACCGGACTTTGAGTCTAGACCCTTTTCACGCGCACCTGCCAACCCTACCTCCTGCAGCCTCCTCTTCATCTCTCTGAGCTCCTGCAACACCTGCCAGCTCTGCAGAACCGGGTCTCGGTAGCAGACAAACCAGCAGCAGACACACACGAGTCACCACAGAACACCTCCACACACAGACACCAGTTCCTGAATGAACACGCCCCACCTGACCAGGTGAGAGCACTCACCATGCGCAGATGTTCTGGATGATCTGAGCACGTCATCATCTAGTAAATCTTCTTCCCACAGGCAGAAGTTCAGACACACCAACAACAGCAGCGCCAACCTAAAACACACCAATCAGACAGCTCCGTTAGGTCACATGACCTCCACTTCCTCCTGGATGTCCCAGCACCGTCCTCTCAGCACCTCTGATTCTCAACACGTTTCACTTTTGCCCACACTTGGATTGGCTGACGGAAAAGCTATAGGCGGCTCCTCGTTCAGCCGGCAGGTGTGCTCGTGAGACTTTGCTCAGGTGAGACATCAGGTTCTAGAGTCAGACATGTCTCAGTAGAAGAGACACAATCAGCAGAACCTGTGAGTCCATTCTACAGAAGGTTGGTCATCAGTCAGCTGACTAACTCTCTTCTAATTATTCAGGTAATTTAAAACCCAATGATCAGCAAGGATCAACCTGTAACGCCTCCTGCTGCTGCTGCCTGGAGGTGCTGCTGCGATCTGAGAACACTGACTGCAGACCTGAGGACATGGGTAGAGACAAGTCACAGGTCAATCACCTGGCACCAAGTCTAAGGATATTAGAGTAATTTTACCCTGGGTGGTGTGTCCTAGTTCCTCCCCACTGGAGAAGTAGCCCGGCCTGCCAGACTCGTCCTCTGTCTGCACAGAGAACGAGTCTGGTTACTCGAAGGCAGAGAGGCACACGAGGGGCGGGACTAGCCAGCTCAAACATAACCAATCAGAAAAAAAGACGGAAATGCCGACTGTACCGTGCGACGCTGTAGTTTTTTAGCTGTAGTCAAAAATTGCGTGTGGCGACAGCGCAAACATCTTTTAGAAGAAAGGCTTTTAGCGCTTCAACATGTGGTTTTAAAGACATTTACAACAGAGGAGAGAGCTGCAGCGAACTCTGCTGCCGACACGTTTATGAGAAACTCTCAGGTGTGTGTGAGACGTACGCTGCTCCGCGCTGACTGGCTCGGTTAGAATTCTCGGGGGTGGGGTTATTTGAATAGAAGAGTTCCCAGACCCAATGCTTCCCATAAGGCTAGTGGAGAGGATGCCTCTGTGAGCCTGTAAGGCAGCACTCTGGGCTTCAATCAGCTCATGGGCCATCTCTTTGGTGTGGTGGAGCCAGGGGGGCTGCCAGAGATTTTGGGCCCCATGAAAAAATATCAAGTTGGGCCCCCTGGGGGCTCGTCCATAGCTGGAGCTGGGGTTCCACCCTCCCAGAATCGAAGGGAGAAAAACATATAATATATATACTTTATATTAGTGTTTCAGTTTTGCTTAATTATGTAGGTCTACATGCATTCTTACTTATTTACATATCATTTTCACCAGCTGTCTCTCATTAAACAGTGAATTTCCTTCAACAAAGTTAGCAATATCACTGCTGGAAAAAGCTGGAAATGCACATGCTGAAAGGTGTTGATCTCCTTTTCCCTTTTACTCCCTTAAAATGTGTTTATATATTCAAACATTTTATTTGATGATAAAATTCAAATTTGGACATCTAATTAAATTTCCATGTTGTGTCAAAGCTTTACATAACTACATTTTCAGCTGTCTTTCCTCTTGAAATCAAGTATTTCTGTATGACTGATAAAAATTAAGGATTCACTGCTCACAAGGTGACTTCTTTATTAAGTCTCTATGGCTTCATCATAGACACAAAATGAATAAGCACACAGTTCAAACCCGAGTCAGTTAGGGTTACATAAAATTTTAAAGTTGGATAACTTTGCATGAATACGTATATAAGTCTCTAGAAACCCATTTTTTGTTCAAATTAATTAGTCAAAATAAAGTAGGGACCTCTGAATAAATATATATTTCATAAAGACTAAAAGTTTGTTTAATGTCTTAAATGAGAAAAAAATACTGCAAAGTAAAGTACTTGTGATTTTAAACTTTATATTTTATTCAACTTTGAAACTTTTTTGGGCCCCTAGCAGCTGTGGGCCCTTAGAATCTTCCTAATCCCTCACCGCTTTACGGCGCCCCTGGGCGGAGCTCCTCAGTGGCCGATTCCCAATACTCGCACTTCCACCCTTCAAATGTGCAATCCCGACCAGGGGCACGAGTGAGTGGGGTGTCCTGATTCTCAAGTGCGGAAGTTGATCACACCATTTTTGCACCTTTGATCCGCTCTTCACCTAAGTCTGCATCGATGCGGATTTGGGTGAAGGATGTTACCCACAATCCATTGCTGTGGGAGAAAAGGCTCAAGTGCCTTTTCTGAAAATACGTATTTTCTAATTAAAGTAGTTTATTTTAGGACAATTAGTTGATGCTCTGAAACTTTTAGACAAAGGAGCAATAAATGTAAATTTATTTCAAATAATTGTTTGGTTGTTTGTTTGAAAGTTGTTAATAAAGGTTTTGTATCACAGCAACCAGCATTCCGGCATGCGTGTGGGCGATGACGCAATACTCCCTGTCTCAATTCGGCTATTAGTTGCACACTTGTGTACTACGTACTCAAAGTCTTCATGTACACTTTCTCCTAGAGCTTTGCTGAAGACTGCAGGACGCAGTGCAAGTTCTGAGTCTCACCTGTGTATGGTGCTCCCGGCTAAACGTTCCCAGATCTCAGACTGCAGGAAGTGACAGATGGCATATTGTGAAGAGCTCAATGTAGCTTTTGAAGGTCAAAGAGTCCATCCCAGCTGTACAGCTGCTGACCTCTGACCCCTCATGGCGCAATGAGCTGCAGGTGTGTGCACGCACAAATTCAGATTCAGTTAGTCAGTTATTCTGTATAACTTGTTTCACAAAAGCACCAACTGAGTTCTAAGGATTTTGACATTAGTGTAGGATAATCTAGTCCGGGTCTAAAGAGTCTATTCGTTTTATAATTACAGCAGATCATTTTATAATTACGGGAGATCGCCAGGCGGATTGGTTCGGCGTCTGCAGTGATGCGGACGCTGAGCCGATCTGTCGTGGTGAAGAGGGAGCTGAGCCAGAAAGCCAGGCTCTCGATTTACCGGTCGATCTACGTCCCAATCCTCACCTATGGTCATGAGCTTTGGGTAATGGCCGAAAGAACGAGATCACAGATTCAAGCGGCCGAAATGAGTTTCCTCCGTAGGGTGGCCGGGCTCAGCCTTAGAGATAGGGTGAGGAGCTCGGACATTCGGGAGGGACTCGGAGTAGAACCGCTGCTCCTCCGGATCGAAAGGAGTCAGTTGAGGTGGTTTGGGCATCTGGTCAGGACGCCTCCCTGGGGAGGTGTTTCGGGCATGTCCTGACGGCAGGAGGCCCCCGGGTCGACCCAGGACACGTTGGAGAGGTTTCATCTCCAATCTGGTCCGGGAACGCCTTGGGGTCCTGCCGGAGGAGCTGTGGAGGTGGCCGGGGAGAGGACGGTCTGGAGCTCCCTAGTTGGGATGCTGCCCCCGCGACCCGGACAAGCGGAGGAAGACGACGACGACGATGACAAATTACAGCAGAGCAAAGACGAGTCAAAGATCTAGTTGGAAATTTTCTTAACAAAATTTCAGATTTGTAAACAGAAAAAATAACCCAACTTCAGCTGCATCCCACCCACAACAGAACCAGAACAAGCAGACTGTTTTCTTGGGTCCATGTGAACCGGCCCTTTAGGACTACAGATGGAAATTAGCCCTTGGCTATAATCTGACGTGTTTAAATTCATGTTTTTTATTTTGCGTGTGTGTTAATTAACATGCACTGTTACCAGCCAAATAAATAAATAAACACCAGAGTGGTTGATTTGCTTAAGCTGCTGATGTTTAGTGACGTTCTCGCCTGGTCCTTCAGCGAGAGGGCATGGTGGGGACACTTTGACCCTGGCGTAAGCACATTTTGGAAACAGGAAACGCGTGGCCAATGAGATTTAAATACAGTGTCATGTTATTTTACACCTTCCAGAGCAACAATAGGCACGTTAAAATATCACCTTTAGCTATTGAGGTATCGTTGAGAAATCTTAGGGTTAGGATATTTTTTGTGAGCCATTCCTTCTAACCAGAAATAGGACGCGTTTCCGATTGTGAATTCCACAATAGTACACGGCTGTAGACCCGGAGACCACAGATTCACACCAACATGCCTCACTCAGCTACTAACAGGCTACTCAAACACAGAAAAGGTAGCTCAGACGATGGATTCCCAGCCTGAATCCTTGTCCCGGTCCGTCCTTGACAGTCACACAACAGACACCAGTTCAGCTAGCGGCTAATCGTTTGGTTGTACTCACAGCTCTGGCTCTCCACGGGCAGTTTTAATGTTGGAATGGTGCCGGTTTGAAGAAGTAAATCGTCTCAAAACCCATTCCAGTAATAGCAGTCTGTGAAATCCAAGTCACATTCTGGCTTGGTTTTTGAGAACTCCTGAAGCTAAAACCCAAACAATTCTACCAATTCTTCAGGAAGACTGGCCAGGGATCCTGTCCTTCTTGCAGACAAAAATTCATTTTTGGTTTCTAGGCGTTTAAAGTGTAGACCACAGGGTACGATTGAGCAATTATTCACTTTCTTTTGTTCGTTATTTTGAAATCCAAAACCTGAACTTGCTTTTATTCAGGAACAGATTTGTGGGGTTGGCCTTCTCTTTAGCATACACTGAACATAATAAAACAAACAGCCTATTTATATAAACATATTTATCTTTTCTGGTGGGGCTGGAGATATGTTCCCCCACCCACCTTTTCAGTATTTGCCCAATCACGATTTCTACCGAAACGAGGCAGAACTTTACGAGGTTTATTGATCGGACCTCTGAATGGAAAGGCAGAAGAGAAAGAAAGCACTTTTATCATAGTTATAAGTTAAAGGAAGGAGCCTCTCATCTTCACTCATCACCACATCCGTTGCTTGCTGAATTTTGGAATGGAATCACAGAACAACGGTTAAACATGAACTTCTGGGACAAGTGATAAATTATGCTTCTAATCACCCGACTGTTCGTCAAAATCCCATGTTTTGGTTATGCTGCTATAGAGCTCCGGACGTCACGTGACTCTCAAAGAGAGTAGACGCCATGTTGGCAGGCAACAAAGGTAAACAAAATGAACGGGATCAGCTTGGATTTTACTCCGTCGGAGTTTACTTCACACTTTAAAACCGAAGAAATCATTTTATATAGTCAGAAATTAAATAGACTAAGCATCTCCGACCCTTACCGTGCCCCTGGGATACTTTTTAAAAACGTCAGAAGCTGTCGGAGCGGACCTGGCCAGGGAACACCTTGGGATTTCCCCAGAGGAGCTGGCCCAAGTCGCTGGGGAGAGGGAAGTCTGGGCCTCTCGACTTAGGCTACTGCCCCCGCGACCTGAATCCGTATAAGCGGATGAAAATGGATGGATGGATGGACAAATAGCATAGATTTACATGTAAGTAGTTTAAATAGAGTGCTGTGCTGTTTGAATGTATAAACTGAACACCAAGAGAAATCACTAGTCTGATTTTTTCCCGTGAATAAAATAAAAATGTCAGGCAGGAGCGTCTCAGGATCTGTCTGAGATCTGTCTCGGTGAGACAGATAATAGCAATCCAAAGTGCTTTTTATGTGTGATCTGACAATTGATCAACCATTGCTTAAAAATTAAATACAGCATAGCCGGTTAATTGCTGTGATCATAAAACACGGAAACGGCAGCACGCAGAACTCACGAGGCAACGTTTTAGGTGACGTTTACTTGTTGCTATGAGTAATAAGACAGAAAAAGCCCCGCCAAAATAAGTTTAGGAAGCCCACTAAGAATCGTAATAAAAGCATTTAAAATAAATACCATATACAGTTGAGGAAACGTTGGTTTAAGTACCTGATATGAAGCGGTCGCTGCATAAGCGAAAACCTTTACTCTCGGGATCCCAGTTTCATTTTAGCCCGGTCACTAGCGCGTTTTATTACAATGATCCAACGTTTGTGGCGCTCCGGATCTTGGGGAATCCTGTAGAAGGCTCATTCCTTATGTCGTCCGCGTCTGTTCTGCATCCTGGGGCACAACAGGAATCTACCATATTTACCGTTTGTTTTCTGACAATAACAAATAGTCCAGCTGCGGGCTTCTGCCTGCCAATATGGCGCCGTTTCGATTTGAACTGTTGCATGCCGGGAGAAATGACGTCAACTCCCGGAGCTCTATGGGCTCAGACTTCTGTAGGACATAATGAGTTATTCTGGCTCATCCCTTTAGTGATAACGGAACACAACTTAGGTCAAGGTTCTTCCCAGTCACTCCCAGGAAAATTGTCAGCTCTTGTTTACATAACTATCTCTTTTTGAGACAAAAAAAAGTACAACTTTTTGCCTTTTGGCTGTGAAACTCTAGAAATGCTGCGGCAGCAGTGAAGGGAAGCTGCTTCTCTTCATCCTATAAATGTGTAGAAGATGAGATAAAACAGCAAGAAGACAAATCAGGGGACAACGATGCTTTTAGTTAGAAAGAAAAATAAGAAAATGTTAAAAACAAGTTCGTCTACAGCGACACAGTATTTTGGAGTTTCACTGAATTCCAACCAGAGTAAAAGCAGAATATTCATCCTTAATATTAGCAACTATGAAGTCACCACACACATCACTAAGTCTAGAAACACAACATGGCTTGGCTGACATGGTGGCTTCTGGCAAGACGCACAATATTATAGGCACTAATCTCTGGAACATGCAACGTGGTGGCTGGTTACTGCAGATGGTGCCGGGTTTGAGTTTGGTCACAAAGGAACCTTTGCTGCAGCAGCTTGAAGCTGAAGGACGCACCACTCTGAGTCGGTGGTGCTGCGTACAAAGAGGCCTCATCACCTGTGTTAGTTCACAACCACACTTTCAGGTGCGGTGCCAGGTGCACGCATTTCAGCTGCTCCAAAGTACAACCTAGGGACTGAAAGGTCCAGATCAGGAAGTCACAGAGGCCCTGTTCTTGTTCCAATCACCTGAAATATTTCTGAAAGCACAGCCACTCCATTCAGCTTCTAAATGTTTTTGTTTTGTTTCTTCTTTCTGATAATAAAATTGTACCACACCCTTGATTAAATATTTAGCTCTTTAAAGTTCAACTTCCATTTTAAACCAATCTGAGCTGAATTGAATACGATTGACATCTAATTCTAAAAGCATCTTACTGTCCAACGAAAACCGTAAAAATCATCAGACAAAATAACGAAACTCCTCGAAAACCAAACTGTTGACAATTTTCTCGGAATTCGTGACGCAAAACATTTAATCACACAACCGTTAAAGCATCAGTAACAGTGCATCAGCGCTCACAATGACCCCTTACGGATCATTACAATATTTTTAAATGTTTTCTGGTGTTTCATAATAATGATGTTATAGTCCCGAATATTTTTCTGATCATTTCTGTTGGTTTATCGTATTTTTCTGAACAGTGACTGTCCAAACCTCATGGTAGGAAATTTTTTTCATTTAGCAAAAAATCCCATTGATGTTTTTTTTTTTTTTCAAATTATTCCAACCAATATTTGTTGCGGTAATAATATGTAGAATTTTCAAATGGTCACTACAGTACCCACTGGTAAACGCATACGAATCTGCAGTGCGTGAGGACATTGTTCTACGTAGTTCAAAAATGTCCTCGAGACACTCCCACGTCTGCCAGTTGGGTGGGACTAGCTCCAAACGTTTTCACAGGTTACACTGCATATGAAGAGGAATTCCTTTACTTCACCGTATAATTTTCACGTGCAGCTTAACCGGGGTTGGGGCTAGATCAATACTAACCCTAACTCATAGATATAATTTTGAGCCAACAGAGACCACATCCCAGCATGCTAGAGATTATTTGATTTAACCAGCCTGACCAGGCCCTTAATCCTGAAACCCATCTTCCACTCACAAAGGTCACTTTTGCTGTAACCATCGGCCTAAAGCAGACACCCTAATAGAGGTTGTTGACACGCTTTACTTTGAAGTTCTGCCGCCTAACTCGTACAAACCTCACAGAGACCCAGAATATTGGGTATTTCCTAAAAGGAAACAGAGGTCTGTGAATGTCCCAAATGTCCGGACTAAACTACAGCAGGCACCATCCACACAGACACAAATATCTTCCACATTAATCCTGACATACAGCCTAACACAGTCTGCTGCTTTCCCTGCCAACGTCATGAACAACGCTCCAGATTCAGTTGTTCGCCAAATAGTTTTATGATCTAAAATTAACTCAATAAATGGCCTTTGAATGGAGTGGAAATTTATCATCATGTGAAACATCTCAGACACAAAAACTTGACTGAAGTTCAGGTGAAGGCTCCCTGTAGTCTGAATGAGTGGAGCAAAACCAAGTCTCCGGTTTTCTGAGATGTGATGCTTTGGAGGATTTTGTAGTGAATTCCTGTTGTTCTGCATGTTCAGAATGACTCATCTGCACAGATCTGCATCCGATGAGGTGGTAAAATAGTCAATGGATTTTTTTAGACCAGATGTTGCTGGTTTTAGCAGTGACAAAAGAACTACACAGCAAAGTTTCATGGAGTGCAGGGAATACGGGGGCCATATTTCAAAACTGAAAGTGAGTTTGTAAGTATGACGTTCTGCGAGGCTTACTTTCCTACTGACTCTGTGACTTTCAGATGAGAACCTACAGTCGCAGTTCAAAACGTTTTCTCTTTTGTCTTTTTGCCGGAGCCCACCTTAACCAGATCTTGGGCCAGAACTGACGCCTGCAGCAGAACTCAGTGGATGGCCTCTGCATACGAACACTTCCTGTTGAAGGCCTGCAAGATCTCTGCGCAACATGCAGGCAGTTGGTTGTCCAAACTGAAGAAGTAGAAACTGTTCCAGACATTTGACACAATGAGTCCAACACATTCATCAATACATAACTAAAATAAAGCTACCATAGAAGTGCGTTTGGTTTGATAGTGAAAGTGCTTCCTTAAGAAACAAACCATGACAGAAACAACCAGACTCATAAAAACCAGTTAGGAGAAATCCTGGAAGAACTGGCTACACTGGAAACATCTGGAACAACAATGAGCAGATTTTTTTTATCCACCTGTCTCATCGGGTTCTGGTTTTATCAGAAGGAACAAAAAGCCAAAAAAGTACTTCAAGCTGCATGTAGACTCAGGACTAAATGGAACCGCAACTTGAGTATGACCTCTAGATTCATTGGGCCTGGAGGTGAACTAGAGGAGTCCTTGCTACAGATCCAAGGCAGAGAGACAAGAAAAATGAGAAGTTAGAACTCAAATATTCTTTGCTCATTGGAGGTTTAAAAATGCAGGAAAAGCAAAAGAAAGAATCCTAGGCGACTAGGTTAAGGTGCAAACTGCCCTCCCCACACTATACTTCTGAGTCTATAAGTCCAGGACCAGTTTCAGGAAGGGATTGTCAGTTAACCGGGGGCGTTTTTAGTCGGAGAATGACATTAATTTTAAATATTAAAGCTATATAACAAAGACCAAACAAATAAACTACTTCATAAAAACAGATTATACTTCGGAAGAAATGTTTCATTAACATGTTAAGCTCCAGACTAGGATCCCCCACTCAACCCCCAACCCCTAATCCAGAGACTAACAGGACGCAACAGCTGCCTTTTGATTATGTACACACACGCCTTGTTGGTTTTTGCTTTTCAGTTCATTTTCCTAAAAAAAGACATTATTTGTTGTCCCCATCTGTCCTTCGGCACCAGGCTGGTACTTGCATCCAGAGATTACAGTCTCCAATCAGCATCAGACAGATCAGAAGTTGCAGCAGTCCTTTGAGCTCATTTACAGCTGGACCACAATCCCCTTCCACCTGGTGCTGTCTCACTCTGTCAAGCTACCAATCAGCTGGTCTTTTTCTTTACTTACCAATCAGCTGGACTTCATCTGTCCAACTAATCAGCTGACCCTTTCGCTGACAGCTGTTCGTGACTCTACCGTCTCCTCGCAACTGGGACAGGGTACGGTGGATTGGGGGACAATGTCTCTAAGCTCCCTACCCTCACCTACTGCCTCTGGCTCTGCCCGTAACCTAGCCCTGCCATCTGCTGCAGGCACAATACCAGATCCTGCTACTCCAGGTGGCCCAGAGCTGTGAGGTCTCCTGGTACTGTTGGACCCTCTGTCCCCCCCTAAAACCTCTCTACTCTCTGATGCTGTGCCCAGCTCCCTTATGCCCTCTGTTCTGACACTCTCCACGCTGGCCTCTCTGCTTGAGAGCTGACTTTCTCTGGTAGGCCGCGTGGTGCTCAAGTCCTGGGGCTGTTCATTCTGGAGCTGCTGAGCAGAAATGAGGTTTGTCTGTGTCAGAATGGACGATGATCGGTGGGATGACAGGCTCTGCATTTCCAGTCTGGAAAGCTGTGAGTGGGGCTGAGCTTGAATCTGCTGAAAGTGGGGTTGTGCTTGGGACTGAGACACATGTGGCCTAGACTGAGACAGAGGTTGTCTGGGTTGGGCTCTGTATTGAGTCTGAAGTTGGTATTGCAATGGATCCCTTGTTTGTGGTAGCAAGTGAGTCTGAGTTTGTATTGGAGTTCTGGTCTGGGGCTGAGACTGAGTTTGTGTTGGAGTTCTGATCGGGGGTTGAGATTGAGTTTGTGTTGTGGTTCTGATCGGGGGTTGAGATTGAGTTTGTGTTGGAGTTCTGGTTGGAGGTTGAGACTGAGTTTGTGTTGGAGTTCTGGTTGGAGGTTGAGATTGAGTTTGTGTTGTGGTTCTGATCGGGGGTTGAGATTGAGTTTGTGTTGGAGTTCTGGTTGGAGGTTGAGACTGAGTTTGTGTTGGAGTTCTGGTTGGAGGTTGAGATTGAGTTTGTGTTGTGGTTCTGATCGGGGGTTGAGATTGAGTTTGTGTTGGAGTTCTGGTTGGAGGTTGAGACTGAGTTTGTGTTGGAGTTCTGGTTGGAGGTTGAGATTGAGTTTGTGTTGTGGTTCTGATCGGGGGTTGAGATTGAGTTTGTGTTGGAGTTCTGGTTGGAGGTTGAGACTGAGTTTGTGTTGGAGTTCTGGTTGGAGGTTGAGATTGAGTTTGTGTTGTGGTTCTGATCGGGGGTTGAGATTGAGTTTGTGTTGGAGTTCTGGTTGGAGGTTGAGACTGAGTTTGTGTTGGAGTTCTGGTTGGAGGTTGAGATTGAGTTTGTGTTGTGGTTCTGATCGGGGGTTGAGATTGAGTTTGTGTTGGAGTTCTGGTTGGAGGTTGAGACTGAGTTTGTGTTGGAGTTCTGGTTGGAGGTTGAGATTGAGTTTGTGTTGTGGTTCTGATCGGGGGTTGAGATTGGGTTTGTGTTGGAGTTCTGGTTGGAGGTTGAGACTGAGTTTGTGTTGGAGTTCTGGTTGGAGGTTGAGATTGGGTTTGTGTTGGAGTTCTGGTTGGAGGTTGAGACTGAGTTTGTGTTGTGGTTCTGATCGGGGGTTGAGATTGAGTTTGTGTTGGAGTTCTGGTTGGAGGTTGAGACTGAGTTTGTGTTTTGGTCTGAGGTTGAGTGTGAGTTTTTGTTGGAGTCCTGGTCTGTGGTTGAGTCTGAATTTGTGTCCTTGTCTGAGGCTGAAGTTGTGACTGTACTGACATCAGGGACTGGGACTGTTGTTTGAGTTGGGTTTGGGGTTGTGACTCGGTTTTAGGTAGGATCTGAGAATGAGATGCTGTAGAGGACTGGGTTTGTAAATGTGGATGTCCTGTATTGGGTGGATGAATGTGCAAGAAGGATGGAGAGTAACATGGAACATTTGCAGACTGAGCTTCATGATAGATTGCAGACTGGACAGGCTGTGTCTGGGACTTCTGGTTGGTACACTGGGACTGAATATGGGTTTGTGTTGGGGGCTTTGGGGTCTGGGGTGATATGTGTCTGGTTGGAGTGATCTGAAGTACAGGGTCTTGAATGTGGGCTTGCGATGAACTAGGGAGCTTGATCTGAGGACAAAACTGAACTTGGTGGGGTGGTTTAGGGACACGATGCTGAGGTTCAAGCAGAGACTGAGGTGCAGACTTTGCCTGTGTCTTGAGGAGAACTTCCTGTTGAGGAATGAGCTGAGGCATACTTTGGGGTTCAATTTCCAGCCTGGATTGGCTGGAAGATTCTAGGAGTCCATATGCAGTAGGATTAGGAGATGGCTGCTCATCTAATATAGAAACAGATGACTTTTGGTGGTGATGATGATGGTGGTGATGGTGGTGGTGCTTATGAAATGGTCGTTCTTTCTTTTTGTGGCCTTTTGTTGGGCTAATGCTACTAATGCTACAACTACTCCTTCCACCCCCACCTTCATCTTCCTCTAGCTCATCTCCTCGGCGTCCTCCATTGCCAGATTCTGTTTTCTCCTTGTGCTTACGACCTTTATGAGTTTTATGTCCATGTGATTGGCTGGTATCTGCAGAAGATGGTTGCCTTTGTAATTGTGTTTGCTCAGTGGGTATGGACTGAGGATCAGAGCTTGAAGTCCCTTCTGCTCTACTTCCCTCTTCCTCTGTGGTGGTCTTCTTTCCGGTCTCTGTTGTTAGAGTTGGAATCTGGACGCTCTCCATCTCTTCCACTGTCTCTCTTGTTTTACGTTTTTTGATTGGCAAGGCTGTTTCCTGAACAACAGGTCTAGTGGAAGACTCTTTGGCTGCTTTCCGTTTAGCTTCTGCAGCCAAGATGGCAGCTGCCGTGTAGCTGACAGCTGTTAAGCTACCAGAGATGGCTGCAGTGGAGGTGGAGGTTGTAGCAGCTGATGAGGTTTCTGATACTACTGTTGGTTTCCTTCCTCTTTTCTTGGGGGCAGTTTGAGGTGGAGGTGGAAGTTCCTGTTCAGATTTCCTTTTTCTGCCTGGACGTGACTTGGACACAGTGATAGGAGACTCCACCTGTACGGGAAGTACCACATTGTTAAGACACATTAGCATCAGTTTGATTTGAGTTGAGTTTTATTGATTGATTTGAGTTTTATTATTGGATCAACAATCACAAATTTCAAATAAACAAATGCACAGTGAACTAGATAAAAGTATTCTCCAGTGCATGCAATCTGATGTTCAGTCATGGTTGGGATGAGTTTTATTACATTCATATTTGAGATAATAACATCCATCCATTTTCTTCCGCTTATCCGGAGTCGGGTCGTGGGAGCAGCAGCCCAAGTCGAGAGGCCCAGACTTCCCTCTCCCCAGCCACTTGGGCCAGCTCTTCTGGGGGAATCCCAAGACGTTCCCTGGCCAGGTGAGAGACATTGTCCCTCATAAGTGTCCTGGGTCTTCCCTTAGGCCTCCTCCCGGTTGGACGTGCCCGGAAAACCTCATCAGAGAGGCATCCTGACCAGATGCCCGAGCCACCTCAACTGACTCCTCTTGATGTGGACGAGCAGAGAATCTACTCCGAGCCCCTCCCGAACGACCGAGCTTCTCACCCTATCTCTAAGGGAGAGCCCAGACACTGCGGAGAAAACTCATTTTGGCCACTTGTGTCCGTGATCTCGTTCTTTCGGTCACTACCCAAAGCTCGTGACCATAGTTGAGGGTAGGAACGTAGATCGACTGGTAAATCGAGAGCTTCGCCTTCTGATTCAGCTCGCTCTTCATCACAACAAATCGGTACAACGCCTGCATCACTGCAGATGCAGCACCAATCCGCCTATCGATCTCACGCTCCAGTTTTCTCGTACTCGTGAACAAGACCTCGAGATACTTAAACTCCTCCACTTGGGGCAGGACCTCATCCCTGACCCGGAGAAGGCATTCTACCCTTTTCCGAATCAAGACCATGGTCTCGAATGTAGAGGAGCTGATTCTCACCCCAGCTGCTTCACACTCTGTTGCGAACCGCTCCAGCACAAGCTAAAAATCACGTTCTGATGAAGCCAACAGGACCACATCGTCTGCAAAAAGCAGAGACCCGATCCTCAGGCCACCAAAACGGATGCCCTCAACACCTTGGCTGCGCCTAGAAATCCTGTCCATAAAGGTTATGACCCGAATCGGTGACAAAGGGCAGCCTTGGCGGAGTCCAACTCTCACTGGGAATGAGCCCGACTTACTGCCAGCAATGTGGACCAAGCTCTGACACCGGTCATACAGGAACCTAACAGCCAATATCAGACGGCCTGGTACCCCATACTCCCAGAGTACCCCCCACAGGGCCCCACAAGGGACGTGGTCAAATGCCTTCTCCAAATCCACAAAACACATGTAGACTAGTTGGGCAAATTCCCACGCACCTTCCAGGACCCCCCTAAGGGTAAAGAGCTGGTCCAGTGTTCCACGGTCAGGACAAAAATCACATTGCTCCTCCTGAATCTGAGGTTCGACAATCCGACAGATTCTCCTCTCCAGAACCCCTGAATAGACCTTACCAGGAAGGCTCAGGAGTGTGATCCCCCTGTAGTTGGAACACACCCTGCGGCCCCCCTTTTTAAATAGGGGAACCACCACCCCGGTCTGCCAATCTAGTGGAACTGCCCCCGATGTCCACGTGATATTGCAGAGCTGCATCAGCCAACACAACCCCACAACATCCAGAGCCTTAAGGAACTCCAGGCGGATCTCATCCACCCCTGGAGCCTTGCCACAGAGGAGCTTTTTAACCACCTGAGTGACCTCAGCACCAGAGATTTGAAAGCCCAACTCAAAGTCCCCAGACTCTGCTTCCTCACTGGAAGATGCGACGGTGGGATCGAGGAGGTCTTCGGAGTATTCTGCCCACTGATCCACAACGTCCTGAGTAGAGGTCAGCAGCATCGTCCCCACTACAAATGGTGTTGGAATTAGGACTCTAGTTGGAGCTATATCAAATACAGGCCATTTACTTCTTTTTTTTTTTACCATCTACAGCTTATTCATGCATTGTGATTTGTTGTGAAGCACAATGCATTGTTATGTATATAAAGTCTTGATTGATTGATTGATTGATTGATTGATTGATTGATTGATTGATTGATTGAACTCTGCAACAGTATAATTTCAATGGTAGGTTTTTAAACAGTGATGCAGAACAACAATATAATAATTCCAGAATCATGAATTTCTGGAATGGAATCCCTTTGCGAAACATGCTTTAGTACTTGCTGGCAGTCACAGAGGTCAAAAGTGTCTTGTAGCCGGCCACAAGTTTTGAGCACATCTCATCTTTGCAGATTCTCTTTAAGTTATTAGTGTTTGGTGACCAATTTTTGGTAATTGGAACCTTCAGCTCCCTCCAAAGATTTTCTATGAGATTAAAGTCTAAACATAGACTAGGCCACTCCAAGACCTCAATGTGCTTTTTCTTGAGCAAATCCTTTGTTGCCTTGGCCATGTGTTTTTGATCACTGTAATGCTGGATTACCCACCCATGACCTGTTTTCAATGCCCTGGCTGATGGAAGGAAGTTTTTACCCAAGATTTGATGGTGCATGGCTCCATATATCCTCCCACTGACTTGATACAGTTGTCCTTTCCCCGTTGCAGAAAAACATCTCCAAACCATCATGTTTCCACCTCCATGTATGAAGGTAGGGTGTTCTTGGAGTCATGCGCAGCAGTCCTCCTCCTCTGAAAAAAGCTGGATTTTGTTGTCATCTGTTGACAACACTTTCACCCAGTCCCACTATCAGGGTTTCCCCCAGAAAACTTGCTAGACCCGAAAGACCGTAGGGGGGGGGGGGGGGGGGGGGGGGGGGGGGGGCGGTTCATTCTGCTGCCGTCCACCAGGTTTATAAAGTTCTGGGGGAAACCCTGTACTATGTAGCATTCAGATGTTCTGAGACAAAATTCAACTATGCTTTTTTGAGCAAGGGGCCTTTGTGGGTCATGCAGGATTTCAGTCCTTCATGGCGCACCAAGTGATGTCACCATCTCACCCAGCTGCTTGGATATGGTCTTGTAGCGGATTTCAGCCTTGCATGGCTCAACAATCTTGTCCCTGACATCCTTGAAAAGCTCTTTGGTCTCAGCCATGATGCAGACTTTTGGGATCTGGATGCATAGATTGCTTCTATGAACAGGTGTCTTTTGGGCCTTTTCTGCCAGTACCTACTTAACACTGCTCAACTCAATTTGGCCTGGTTCAATGGGAATTCCACTGGTATGAGGTATCAGGTTCCAACCTCCTTTTTAGTACCTCCTTTGAAGTAGTTCCAAGCATCTCTGTGCTGAATTTGATCCAAAACGTGGCATCAGAGAATGTGAGACACTGATTGATAAGGGGGCTCAACTTTTGGTACTTTTCTTAATCTGAAATTAGGTTTTACTCTTTTTTATATTTATATTCTATACCTAATATTTTAAATTACTTTGACATTTGAATCAATCCGGTACTAATTCCTGGTACCTTCGAATCGATCCCAGTACTTAACGGTACCAATTTTCGATACTTTTGAGTGTTTAATATTTTTAATTCTCTTTTATAATTAAATATATATTTTTCTCAATATATAGCCATATTTGATATCATGATAAATAACATTCAACTGTTTGTATTTTAACATCGTCCTTGTAGTTTTATAAGCTGATAATTAAACTGAAGCAAACATCTTTACTGTGAACTAAATTTACTGTGTATCTTCATTCCTTTTACCGTCCTTTTTCAATTGATTTTTCCTACTGGGAAGTTAGAATTTCCGAGGAGAAAGCGAACGCACCATTTGCTGATAACAACGGTGGCAATGGAAGCTAACATATCAAGCTAACGTTATCTTTAACAGTTTATTTAGCTGCTGGAGCAGATTAAAACGATGATGCCTCACACTTAGATCGTTGTCACTGGTTTCATCTTCACCCAATCACCCGTTGCATTTAGTAAAGTGAAGCCAAACTTTAGAGCGCGTTCATGTTCTTCTAGTTGGAATTTTGGAGTTCCGAGGAGAAAGCGAACGCACCAATAGTGAAACGGAAGCTAACAAATCAAGCTAACATTATCTTAAACATTTTATTTACCTACCAGAGCAGATTAAGATGAGGATGTCTCACTTAAGATTGTTGTCGCGTTTCATCATCACCCAGTTACCCATCACATTTAGTGAAGTGGACCCAAGCTTTAGCTTTCGTTCTTTCTACCCATGCTGCTCTGTTTACAACTCGCTCGCAGCGACCGATGACATAACGCTCTTGCGCATGCGTAGCTGTCCAGGCAAGTTCTCGTTGTGAAGGAAGGGTACCGAAACGAGGCACCGTTTCAAATGAAGTGAATCGGTGCTCGGTCGGTACTGTGGAATTTGGTCGGTACCTTAAAAAGTACCGAATTTGGTACCCATCCCTAGCCACAGCCTCCTTGCCCTGGGGCACACCAACAGAAGTGAGGCTGTTATTCCTGCTGGCCAACACTTGGACCACCACTAGCAGTCAAATCAGGTCAAGCACAAACCTTTGGCAGCAAACCAATTACATGTAATCATAAATTCATACAAATCAAATACCTTTGATGAGGTGCCAGCAGATGAGTCTGCCTTACCAAAAGGCATTTTAACCAGAAGTTTGCCTGGAGTCTTTTCAACAACTCGTTTCATGGCTACACCCTCAGTGACCTGTCGCATCTTTCCACTGCCTACACAAACATAAAGGATAAACATACAACTGCAGAGACTTGTTACCGTTACCAGATTCACTTTCACATCACCGAGTACCTTTAGGCCGCCCACGACCTCGCCCTGACGGCTTCACCACCTTTGGTTTCTTGAAAGGCCGCTTCTCACGACGGGAAGGGCTTCCACGTCCAGTGACAGTAAAATCAAAATCGTTGGGGTCAGTAGTCGTATCACCAATCTTCTCAAAGTAGGCAATAAGTTCCACCTTGGAACGAAAAGCCTTCCCCTCTGAGCTTTACAGCACGGAAACAACAAAACACTAACATTATTCATCTGTATCTTTACTACACTGCAGCATAACCACTGAGTTTGGCTTACTTGATTAGGTAAACGTCAAACTTTCCAGCAGAGCGTCCAGACTTTCTTTGTTTCAGTTTACGGGTCCAGCCTTCGGGCAGTGAAGGGTCCTCATACATTGGCCCCCGGTCCCGAATGATGGAACGTCTCTGCCTGAGAGATGCTGCAGACTCAAACCCTGGCTCTGAGGGGCCCGCCTCTGGTTCCAACACCTTCAAGGATGAAGTGAAGAGAAAATTCTGAAAGTGTTTATATCATCTTGGACTATGTTGTGTTGTTTGGTGAATGATCAAATGGAGTCTAAAGGTTCACCTGTTCTGTACCTGACTCTGAGGCTCAATGCTTGTCTGGGTGTGCCCTCTTGCAACTGAAGGCGTGGTTGTGGTCTCAACCCCCTGGTCGGCATGGTGACGCTCCCGACGGGCCTTCTTGCTCTTACTGTGAGAGCTATCTCTTTCTCTGGTGGAGGGTCTGGGGTTGGCTTGTTCCTCATCACTTGCTTGGCTCTTCTCCCTTTGGAAAAAAGAGGATATTCTGAGTGGGAATACTAAACTGCATAATGACAGAAAAGTGCTTGTTGTCTGACAAACCGGAACGTGTATGTAAGGGTGAAAATGTATTAAACTAGGAAACTTGTAACAGCTCATCACCATCATTTCCAAACCAGTAATCAGTCACTGTGCGCTCAAGATTCAGTACATTTCCTCAGTAAAATGATATATTCGCTTTCCTCCTGTGTGCAGGTGAGTGGCGTTGCAGAAGCAACAAATCACGTTTTCAGCATGTGTGCAGCCAGCCAATGTATCAAACAGCCAGCGACCCAGATGTATAAAAGTTGGTAGTTCACTCTGTGGTCTTCATTGCAACTTCAACTGGATGCTTGAACTCTTTAGAGTTTTATTTTTTTTTCAATAAAATATTCCAATTTGTGGAGGGCTGGGGTTGGCTTTTTGTTAGCCCCAAGACTCTCTGCCTGTGTGTTGGGGTTTACCCCTGGGGAAGAGAGGGTAGCTTCCCTGCGCCTTCGGGTCGGGGAACGGGTCCTGACTGTTGTTTGTGCTTATGGGCCAAATATCAGTTCAGAGTACCCACCCTTTCTGGAGTCCCTGGGACGAGTGCTAGATAGTGCTCCATCAAGGGACTCCATTGTCCTGCTGGGGGACTTCAATGCTCACGTGGGCAATGACAGCATGACCTGGAGGGGTGTTTCGTTATTGGACTTCTGTGCAAGCCGCAGTTTGGCCATAACGAACACCATGTTCGAACATAAGGATGCCCATCGGTACACTTGGTACCAGGGCAGCCTAGGTCGTAGGTCAATGATAGACTTTGTAGTCGTATCATCTGACCTGCGGCCGTACATTTTGGACACCCGAGTGAAGAGAGGAGCGGAGCTGTCAACTGATCACCACCTGGTGGTGAGTTGGATCAGATGGCAGGGGAAGATGCTGCGTAGACCTGGCAGACCCAAACGCATAGTGAAGGTCTGCTGGGAATGCCTGGCAGAAGAACCTGTCAAGACGGTCTTCAACTCCCACCTCCGGCAGAGCTTTGACCGTGTCCCGAGAGCAGTGGGGGACATTGACTCGGAGTGGGCCTTGTTCCACTCTGTGATTGTTGAGGCGGCTGTTGCTAGCTGTGGTCGCAAGGTGGCTGGTGCCAGTTGTGGTGGCAACCCCTGTACCCGCTGGTGGAAACCAGAGGTTCGGGATGCCATCAGGCTGAAGAAGGAGGCCTACAGGGCGTGGCTGGTCTGTGGGTCTCCGGAGGCAGCAGACGGGTACCGGATAGCCAAGCGGGGTGCAGCAGTGACAGTTGCCGAGGCAAAATCTCGGGCGTGGGAGGAGTTTGGTGAGGCCATGGAGAAAGACTATCGATCGGTGCCAAAGAGGTTCTGGCAAACTGTCCGGCGCCTCAGGAGAGGGAGGCAGCAACTCGCTCACACTGTTTACAGTGGGAATGGGGAGCCACTGACGTCAACTGGGGCTATAGTCGGATGGTGGAAGGTATACTTTGAGGAGCTCCTCAATCCCACCTACGCGCATTCCGAGGAGGAGCCAGAGCTGGGAGACCTGGGGATGGACTGTCCAATCCCTGGGGCAGAAGTTGCTGAGGTAGTCAAGCAACTACACAACGGCGGAGCCCCGGGGTGGATGAGATTCGTCCAGGGTATCTCAAGGCTATGGATGTGGTAGGGCTGTCGTGGTTGACACGTCTCTGCAACATTGCGTGGTCATCGGGGGCAGTTCCTGTGGAGTGGTAGACCGGGGTGTTGGCCCCCATCTTTAAGAAGGGTGACCTGAGCGTGTGTTCCAACTATAGAGGGATCACACTCCTCAGCCTCCCTGGAAAGGTCTACTCCAAGGTACTGGAGAGGAGGGTCTGATCGATAGTTGAATCTCTGATTGAGGAGGAGCAATGTGGTTTTTGTCTTGGCCATGGAACTGCAGACCAGCTCTATACCCTTGCAAGGGTGATGGAGGGGGCATGGGAGTTTGCCCAACCAATCCACATGTGTTTTGTGGATTTGGAGAAGGCTTATGACCGTTTCCCCAGGGACACCCTGTGGGGGACGCTCCAGGAGTATGGGGTGGGTGGCCTTTTGTTAAGGGCCATTCAATCCCTTTATCAGAGGAGTGTGAGTTTGGTCCGCATAGCCGGTAGTAAGTTGGACCTGTTCCCGGTGAGGGTTGGACTCTGCCAGGGCTGCCCTTCGTCTCTGGTTCTGTTCATTACCTTTATGGACAGAATTTCTAGGCGCAGCCGTGGTGTGGAGTGTTTCGAGTTTGGTGGCAGGAGAATCTCGTCTCTGCTTTTTGCGGATGATGTGGTCCTCCTAGCTTCATCCAGCTCTGACCTTCAGCTCTTGCTGAGTAGATTTGCGGCCGAGTGTGAAGCGGCTGGGATGAGGATCAGCACCTCCAAATCTGAGACCATGGTTCTCGACCGGGAAAGGGTGGCTTGCCAACTCCGGGGAGGGAGAGAGGTCCTACCTCAAGTGGAGGAATTTAAGTTTCTCTGAGTCTTGTTCACGAGTGAGGGTAGGAGGGATCAGGAGATCGACAGGCGGATTGGTTCTGCATCACTGCAGACACCGAGCCGATCTGTCGTGGTGAAGAGGGAGCTGAGCCAGAAAGCCAGGCTCTCGATTTACCGGTCGATCTACATCCCAATCCTCACCTATGGTCATGAGCTTTGGGTAATGACCAAAAGAACGAGATCGTGAATACAAGCAGCTGAAATGAGTTTCCTCCGTAGGGTGGCCGGGCTCAGCCTTACCCCAAAATTCCACTATCTCCGCTCCGGCACGAACTCCGCAGTAAAAACGGTCCTGTTGTAGTCAATCAGAGCTGCTCCACTACTGCGGCCATGCGGCGCAGTGCGCCGCCCGCCGTTCCGTCATCCGGCAAAAATAGGATCGATCCTATTTTTGCCGGACGCCAGAGCACCTCCGCAGTCAATGGACAGAAATCACAACCGCCCAACAGGAAAGGGGAGCAAGCACAACTTCCGTTATTTCACAATAAATCGATAAACAAAAAGCGTTTTTTGTTTCATGTGCACAGATTTAACAAATTTTAACAACTGTCAATGGCGGTTGAACTTTAAATGCACGAAAATAAGCCATAAATACAGTTTCCACTATCAAAGTAGTCACCCTTTGTTGATCCAAACACTGCTGATCTCTCAACACAAATGATGGGCAGAATTAACAGTTCATTTCGATGCTTCTCCCACACAACGGGTGTTTGGATCTAACTTCCGCGTTTATTGCTCGGACTGTATCGCAAGATCTCCAAAATCCTGCGCATGCCTGTTTGCGCACCTCAGGTCTCCACACTGGAGCGGAGCCGTTGTAGAGCGGGTATAGTATAATTTGAGTTTGGAAGCGAGCGGCAGCGGAAAGCGGGGGCGGAGCGGAGCAGAGATAGTGGAATTTTGGGGTTAGAGATAGGGTGAGGAGCTCGGACATTCAGGAGGGACTCGGAGTAGAACCGCTGCTTCTCCAGATCGAAAGGATTCAGCTGAGGTGGTTTGGGCATCTGGTCAGGATGCCTCCTGGACGCCTCCCTGGGGAGGTGTTTCGGGCATGTCCTGCCAGCAGGAGGCCCCCAGGTCGACCCAGGACACATTGGAGAGGTTACATCTCCAATCTGGTCCGGGAACACCTTGGGGTCCTGCTGGAGGAGCTGGTGGAGGTGGCTGGGGAGAGGACGGTCTGGAGCTCCCTAGTTGAGATGCTGCCCCCGCGACCCAGACCCGGATAAGCGGAGGAAGACGACAACAACGACCTCTTGTGCTATTGTGTCTTTAGGGTTAATATAAATGTTAAATTTATCTACATGAAAATCAAACTTTTTCCACAGTTTAGCCATTTTTTTAAATGTTTTGCTCATAATTAGTTAACATTGTGAGTTATTTTCAAAATTTAAATCTGCCTTACTATCACTTTATTTCTCTGATTTAATTTATTTGACTCATCTCAACACACAGGTGCTTTTGTCTCATTCTAATTAACACCAAAATGACTAAAACAGGACTTTCCCTGCCAATCATGTCATTTTTGCCAAACATAATGCTCTTCAGAACATGGCTCACGCATCACCATCATCACCCCACCAAAAATGAATCTCACCGATAGTTTTCCAAAAGTTGGCAGCCTTGCCTTAATAAACATTAATATGTCCATATCACATGAATTAACTGAACAAAAACATTTTTCCTTACTCGTTTCTGCACTGATTCAATTGTCACACTGTCATTGTGTATGCCTAGTATTTTACTATTTATTTATACTAATGTTTACATGTATACACAAGTGTATTGATGATGATAGCACCTCATTGAAAGTGTATTCATAATTTTCTTTTACTGTCTCAATTATTGTAAAGTGACAATAAAGTCATTTATTTAAAACAACTTGATAAATGGAAAATGCAAACAAGTGTGGCAAGGTGGATAAACGAGGGCCCGGGCGGGATTCGATCCCCAGACTCCCGGGTGAGAGTCACACGCTCTAACCAGTCAGCCAAAGTGACATCCCCTAGCCAGGGCGCATGATCAATCGGGACATTGTGACAGGACACACACTGTCACACAAGCAAAACAGCAGAACATTTGACATGTTGCACAAGACCAGCTCTGGCTTTCCCTTCTGATCAGCTGTTCCAAGCTGAGAACGTGCAATTGGTGCACATCGTTTCATGGATAGGTTAGGACTGAATCATTAAGTACGGGCGCTCACTGTGATTGTATGGTGTTTTTTTATATGGGATTTTACGTTTTGAGGGTCATTAAAATAACTTATTCTTTAGAAGAAAATACATTTATTCGGTATGTGCAAAAAGCTGCACCTTGAATGTACTGCACATTTTACTGTATAAATGATCCGCTGTGTGTGTTTTTGTGATGCTGCAGATGAACCAGTTGCTACCGGAACAGGAAGTGAGCTCCTAAGCGAACTGGAACGCACGCACAGGCTGCAGCGACAGTGCGCGCGCGCTTTAACGCGCACACATCTACTCAGCCGCCTGCTAACATGCTAGTAAGGTGCTAATAGTAGCTTGGGCTTAACCCGGTCACTGAAGTTAGCAGATAGCATGCCGTTAGCTTAACGGAACCAGACGGGAGACTCCGCCGCAAAGTTCGGAGCTTCATCCCCGGACTCAATGTAGCCAGCCTCCGGACGTCCTGACCGAAACTGGGTTGATGTCGTAGCATCAGGCGGTGCGTTTGGCGGAGGCTAGGCTAAAATATCAGTACAACCTGATTTGGTGACGTATTCCCACTAACCCCGCTCGGGGGAGACGGGCCGAGGTTGAAATCAGCACACTTCATCAAACGCAGAATAAAATATGACTTGGGTGGGTTGGAGACGACGGGTTCTGCGGGGCTTAAACGGAGGATGGAATATAAAAAAAGACTTACAGTTTGTCCGCTCCGCTCCCCTCGGCGGCCATTTTTATTTAAATAAATAAATTTATATGAAAAAAACTCACAACATCTCAGTTGCACACCGCCCCCTCTAGCCACAAACACCGCGATATCTGGGACTACTTAGGCACAAGTAAGTAGCAAGGGCGGCGTAGTATCGCGAGAGCTGTTCTTAATGACGATAGGTCGAGGCGTTCAGGTACAGCTCGGAAACTGTTAAAAAGTTTTGCTTGTTGATGTTAATTTTAATAAGACACAAGAGCACGAGATTACATTTTTGTGATAATTAGCTGGAAGGTTTATAATAAAGTGTTAAATTTTCAAGATAACGTTAATCATATCAGAATTTCTATGAAAATGAAAGCACCATGTCTACAGTAGCATTCGCTTTCTTATTGTTTTCCCGTTTCTCTTTATAGTTTATTATTCTGCTTCTGTACGTTATTTGGCATTTAACTTCTTCCACAATTCTTCAGCTACTTACACAATTTTGGTATCAAAACGTTCAGCTTATACCAACTATGATTTTTGGTATTGAAATACTTTATACTTTTTGAGGCATTCAGCTTTTTATGCTATTTTTCCCCCGTTGAAATGAATGGAACTGCTCAATTTTCAGTAAAATCCTGTCACTTTTTGACCTTTTACTCTAATAGGTTAACCTTAATCTAGAGACTTCATTCAAGGTTCAACAAACTCACAAGACGTTCGGCTATTACTGGTTAAAAAATTTTTATATCTTCCCAGGTTTTTCTAAAATCACAGGTAGAAGTTGAGGTACGGCTTGAGATTTTCAGAAAAATTCACAAAAATTATAATGGACAGAGATAAGAGCAAGGACCCTCCTTTGCTCTATTTCTGCTATTGTCCTGAGAGAACCGTAGGTCAGATTGAAATGAGACGCACACTGGTTTACAGGTAACGGACATACCTTCGTTTTGAGCCTCCATGACAACCCAGGGTCCAGACCAGGAAGCAGAGTCGTAGTTTAACCCACCCCTCTGCAGCTTCGGTACTGTTACCCGGGCCACACTTTGGATGCTCCTGCCTTTGGGACTGAACCCAGAGTGTTAGTAGTGCTAAAGCATCAGTGGATAAAAGGCTCAGCATCAGAACCCGGTTCTGAATAATGCGAGTCCGGGATCCGGGTCTTCTGCTGTTTCCTTTTAGAAACGCTGCTTTGAACATGAAACTAAAACTAGCAGATTAACAAAAGACTGTATTTCCTTTCATCTTTTCTATTTTCAGAATGCTTTTATTTGTCAGCATTTCCATTTCAATAAAAACGAGTAGAAACAGAACAAAGATTTTTTCTACCGCTGAGGTGGACGGCCACAGACGGCCCACAGGCTGCAGCCAGGAGCCGCAGGATGTGCCGACATGTTCAGGAACGCCTGACTGACAACAATCTGGAATAAAACAAATTTCCACGAGCCCTCTGGTTTCAGGAGGAGGAGATGAGCCCATTCATAACAGAAGGTCACTGGGAATACTGGGAGACCCCCACTCAGAGGTTACAGGTCACTTAAACAGCCCCAGCTCCCTACCAGGGCCATTTTCTGGGGTCAGGTTCCTGTTTTGCCTTTTGTCCCTGTTGTAGGAACCAAAGGGGATAAATCCTGACTCCACATAAGGGTCCTGGTTCCTGGACCAGGATTTAGAGGAGGAAACATCTAAACCTGTGAGACTAAATTGGTTTTAAAGCTATATGTGGTGGAGATGTTCTCAGACCAGTTTAACAGAAGTACAGAAACATCACTGCTGCCCCCTGGAGGTAGAAACACCAGATTACAACAGTCTCCTCCACCTGCTTTCAGTGGATAATTTAAATCTTCTCAACCTACTGTCTGTAAAACACACAGAGCCTGCAGACACCGCACAGGGCGGAGCCTGCAGACGCTGCACAGGGCAAGCGCCACGCAGGGCGGAGCCTGCAGACGCCGCACAGGGCAGACTGCAGACGCCGCACAGGGCGGAGCCTGCAGACGCCACGCCTGCAGGCGCTGCACAGGGCAAGCGCCACGCAGGGTGGAGCCTGCAGACGCCGCACAGGGCGGAGCCTGCAGACGCCATGACTGCAGGCACTGCACAGGGCGGAGCCTGCAGACGACACGCCTGCAGGCGCTGCACAGGGCAGGCGCTGCGCATGGCGGAGCTTGCAGACGCCGCGCCTGCAGGCGCTGCACAGGGCAGGCGCCGCGCAGGGCGGAGCCTGCAGGCTCCAGTCTCCTCCACCTGCTTTCAGTGGATCATTTAGATCTTCTCAACCTGCTGTCTGTAAAACTCTCAGAGCCTGCAGACGCCGCACAGGGCGAAGCCTGCAGACGCAGCACAGGGCACAGCCTGCAGACGCCACACCTGCAGACGCTGCACAGGGTGTTGCGAGCGTGTCCTTTTTATTGGTTCCGTTAGAACCTTAGAATACGCTGCTTTCTCAGGGAGGTTGGGGCCACAGGTGTTTTGTTGTACTGGACCCTGGTTTGGACCAAGCACCTGAATTAGGACTCGCTATTTTCAGGTTAAATGAAATTTGCGCTACTTGTTTTTCCGTACTAACACACTTTCTTTCCTTTTAACTCTCCCGTTATTTAGTGGTTTTAAATACTAGGGCGAAAGTTCACGAGGCCATCTTTGTGATTATTATTTGGGTCCTATCAGGATTAATTTGCGCCTTTGTCAGCAATGTGGGCGGTGGTAACTAGAAAATGATTCTTGTTAGTTGATCAGGCTAACGTAGATTTATCGATTAATCTAATTAATGGTTCCTTCCCACGCTAAACAAAGACTTTCTAGTGCAAAAAAGAGCCTGTTTGAACCAACGAACCGTCATGACCTAAAATCCTTAGGATGTCCCACTACCAAGAGGGAGGGGGGACAAGCTCCCTTACCTAAGGTATCTTTTCTTAATCTGTCACAACCTGAAAACAAGTCCTGAAGCACAGGTACAAGCAAGGTGACTTACCTCTCCTAGAGGTCTGGATCGGGGCTCCCAACTCAAAAGGTTAAAAGAGACCTTTAAGAATCGAGAACGAGGATTCTTTTTCCAAAAAATGTATTTCAAAATTAAAAAATACAAAAAATAGGTAAATATAAGACTAACCAATCCCCTTTGGAGGATTCTAATACTAAAATCTTCCTGAGAATAACTGATTGACTTGTGTCAACACTAAACTGTCACACTCTAACTCTAAGTCTCTGCATCTGCCGACTACCTCGCTCTAAGCTCTCCGTCTCGTCATCCTCTGTCCGGGTGACCTCTTCTATCCCACCTCTACTCTCTACCTCTGCTCTGTCTCTCTCCTGTCGACTCTCTAACTCTTCTAGCTGCCCTTTTTATACTTATCCTAAACAACTGCCAAGCAATAACTCAAACAGTCATGAGACAGCCTAAACAATGTAATCGTTTTTCAGGTACATACATCTCATTATCACAAGACAGCAAAATAATGTGTTCATTTGTCAGTTTCATATCTTAGCTCAACACAAGACAGCCAAACCCATATGATGTCATATATGTAAGCTGGTCTCCGTCTCCACCCAAAGTCCAGAACTTTCCACAGAGGACTTTCACTTCCTGGGATGTCCCTTTAGTTGGCCTTCTTCGGTACCACCTCTTCTGCTGTGTCATGTTCAGTTGGACCCCTCCTCCTTATCTTCTGGCTGTGTTTACTCACATGAGCAAGTTCAATCTTACCTCTGTGTCCCTTCTGTTGACTCCGTTTTTTGCCACCGTCTTTGGCATGCGAGAACTTGCAACAAGGGCAGAGCCTGCAGGCGCTGCGCAGAGCGGAGCCTGCAGACGTCATGCAGGGCGGAGCCTGCAGACGTCATGCAGGGCGGAGCCTGCAGACGCCCGCAGGCGCTGCGCAGAGCGGAGCCTGCAGACGTCATGCAGGGCAGAGCCTGCAGACGTCATGCAGGGCGGAGCCTGCAGACGTCATGCAGAGCGGAGCCTGCAGACGTCATGCAGAGCGGAGCCTGCAGACGTCATGCAGGGCGGAGCCTGCAGACGTCATGCAGAGCGGAGCCTGCAGACGTCATGCAGGGCGGAGCCTGCAGACGCCGCGCCTGCAGACGTCATGCAGGGCGGAGCCTGCAGACGCCGCGCCTGCAGACGTCATGCAGGGCGGAGCCTGCAGACGCCGCGCCTGCGGGCGTCTGCAGGCTCCGCACAGGTCCAACCTGAGCCATTTAAAGAGCTCAGGTAAAACTTCGGTTTCTAGCTGAGTTTGTGCTGCTGAACTGAAATGTTACATCTTAACTGATTTAATATAAATAATAAAGTTAACTTAGACTCGGGGGGGGGGGGGGGGGGGGGGGGGGTTAAAACATGGCCGACGAGTAGAAAGCAGCGGAGTCCTGCATTAGTTTGGCTTTCAGCCGAGCAACCCGCTCCTGGTTTTCCAGCGTGGTGAATTCTAAATCCCCGAGCATCGAGGATCCAGCAGATGACTCGATCCTGGTCCAGGTCTGGGCCACGCTCCGGTCAGCGCCCGGACCGTCTGTCTGTGTATCCGGGTCATTCCAGGCAGTGCCGGGGGTGTCTTCCTCCCCAAAGTCGTGCATCTCGTAGCTGCTGGTCATGATTCTCTGGTCCTCCTGAGGGGGAACCAGAACCGGCTGCAGAGCTGCTTCCTCTGAGACCGGTTCTGGTCGGAGAACTTTAACGAACGGTTCGTCCTTGTTGTCAGAGGGCTGAGGAGAGGAACGCTCTGACCCCACCGTGGATCCGTTGGGTTTAATTTGACCTGCAGCGTGGTTGACCTTGGCTCTGCCGTCGCTGAGCTGCACCTGGAATGAACCAACATCACATCAGCTCATCTTCTACTAACGGTTCCTCCAGCTGCAACCATCTTCATCTCCTCCCAGCCTGCTTACATCAAAACATGAAGCTTCTTAAGGAGGACCAGAGCGCAGATGTGTGATGAAACCATTTTGGTTATTTTGTTCTAGTAAAACACATTTTGGTGCTTTAAGATCAAGAAGAACTTCATGTTTTCCGAGGGTTAGGGGCCTCGCTGATTCTGCTTTAAGGCGAGTCTCATCCTAACAACTGCTCTCTCTACGCGTTAACTCCTAAAGCTGCTCAGATGGGAACTGAAACTTCTGCAGGGAACCAAAAAAGTCCAGTTTCCTTTTTTCTGACCCTGCTGGGGTCACTGAGACCCGGAAAACCTCATGAACCTCACCTGCAAGTGTTTTGTTACCAGCTTATTCATTCATTTATTTATTTACTGTGACTGAAACATTCACAACCTGCTAAAAGACCAGAACAGAATTAAAATAGTCCTGGTCCTTCAGAACGTCCACACCTGCTCTGGACTCTTCTACCTAACCAAATAAGAAGTTTGGAGTTTTCTCTCCTCGTTTGTTCTTCTGTGGTTTAAAGATTCGGTTACCTGCTTCGACTTTCCAGAAGGCAGCTCAGATGACCGGGAGGATGTCTGGAGCTCACGTGTCTTTGGTTGACCATGGTTCCCCGAGGACTTCCTGGTGCACAGGTAGATCAGGCCGTTGTGGATGAAAACAGCGTTCTGGCTGACCAGCGGGGCAGAGTCCTGACGCAGAAGTGGGGTTTTAGAAAACTGTGCTCCAGAGATGTTCGTCAGAGCCTCCCAGGCTGCTCGACTGGAGGAGCTAAAACTCGTCTGCTGACGAGCTAATCCGGCTTGAATCTTTGCTTCCAGCAATGACTTTGTGTTTTCTGCAGAGCCTCTGCCTTGACCCGAGGCCGGTCCCTGGTCTTTCCTCCTGGGGACAACAGGACAGATCCATATGACGTCTGGAGAGCCTGCAGACATCCTGGAGGCTTTGCCGTCAGCGAGACCCATCTTCCTGAGCACAGGCTTTGGTAAATTCTGCAGGGGGAGGATGATCACTTCAGCAGCCTTTGGAATGTAAACATCTAGTTCTTTATGCACGTCCATTCTTTCTGCGGTCACCTGTGTGAAAAAAGATTAAACGCTTTGTCAGAAAGCAAGTTCCAGTCCGGTTCTGCTGATAAAAACACAAACAAGGACGAAAAGCACAAGAAACAGAAGTCGATCTGTTTTCTGTATTGACCGGCTCAGTGGCCGAGTGGTGTTGTCCATCCTGGGACTGGGCGATCGCGGGTTTCAATCATACCAGACTTTAAAAATGAGACCCAACGCCTCCCTGCTTGACACTCAGCTTTGAGGGGTTGGACTGGGGGTTTAAACCACCAACGGGTTCACCAGCACAGCTGTGTCTGCAGCTCACCGCTCCCCCAGGGGATGGGCCCACAGCGGAGAGCAAACTTCACACACACCAGGGTGACATCTAGTGGGAATGTACCTTGGGTTTGAAGAGACCTCAACGTCTGCTTACAGCGAAGACGAAGAACTCTTTTGATGAACACATAATCAAACAACTTTGTTATTACCAATAATAATGTGAGCCCAATGTTCAATCAGTCTGTGAAATGACAATGTTATTACTTGATGTTATAATCCTGTGATCAGTAGTATTTTACAAGTTATTATAATCCTGGACATTTGCACTAGACGCTGATGACACGTAATGCTAAAGTCACACGACACATTTCCTTTTGTCTGATCCAATCAGAACCTTCCTTTCTGGCTAGGCGTGGTTATCTGTGGTGTTTGTAGAAACCCTCTTTTGCACGTCGAATTCTGATTCGCCAGTAAACCAAAATATGACAATTATAAAAACTATCCCACGCCACCTTTTCTTTAGTTCAAGCGCTCTAGAGAAGTCTCGGACCGGCCATCCAGACTTCCTCTTCAGCCGTAAAGAACCTCGACAAGCTGGATAAAATCTGTTGCAGTTACACCTGACCGCAACGGTTCCTTCAGAATAAAAGCTGAACCTCACGACCCCTTTAGGGTCACGGAGACGCCAGTGATAACCTGTCTTGACCTGGAAGCATTCCAAGACTAGTTTGGTCGGCACCGCTGCTTTTCTACCGGCCGCGGTACCAAGGAGGGTCCAAGAGGACCTCGACATTCTGGATCTGACGGAGACTTCCCCTGGGGTACGTGGACCAACAGATGGCGTCTCATGTGTGTTATAAATCTCCTACTAAGCTTAGAGCGAAACGTTCACTCCCACTCAGAACTAAATGCTTCTCCGGATCCGCTGGTTCTGATAACAACATTCCACACACACGTCTCACTCCACCTTAGTCCATCAGTACACTGAGTGTTAAAGTTAGTCTTGTTTAAATTGTGTAGAAATAAATGTCTTAACTATTATAAACCTGACTCTCTCTCTTTCCTCAGAGTTAATACGAAGTGTCGCTTAATCCCTGCAATAAAAGGTTCTGATCTTCTGGTTAAAATATTCAAAGATCCATCAGATTGATATTTCAAATTTCTATGGAATCTCACATTTTATGGTTCATTAGTAAGATGTTAATGACCCATCCTTTACAACATTCATACAATAATATAGAAATAGTAATTATTTGTCATCAATATTATTAACAGTGATGAATCGTCTATTTAGTTAAGCCCATGTATACACAGACATTTTACCAGAACCATAGAACACTCTCCTTCACTGTTAGCCTTTATTATTCTCCAATTTACTCAATTCATTCACTTTCTTTTCATTTACAACTATTTTGTAAGCATGAGCCTGCAGATAGTTACTCCGAACATTTAGTGTGATGAAAAAACCAAACGAAGACACAAAAACAAAGGGCCATCCCAGCGGTCTTGTACTGAACACATGCACGGGTCTGCAGAATGAGCTCGAACTTTTAACTTTTATATCTGTCTAAAACAGGTCACAGCTGTTTGTTACATAGCAGAACACTAGTGATGTGACGTTCAAGAACGAATCGAATCTTTTGAACGGGTTTTCAAAGTGAATGATGAGAGCCGAGTCCCTGCAGAGAGCCGTTCATCTTAACTCATTCACCGCCAATGACGACTAAAGTCGTCATTTGCATTTTTTTTACTGTTTGAGCAATGGAACGAGCCCCCGCGCTGAGAGAACAAACATCTCAGCCCTGAAGCCGATCTTCATCCGCATACGTCACAGATCACATGATAAGGAAGCAACACGTCCATGTGTTTGGAGATCGTCTTGGGCCGTTCCTGTAAAAAAAAAGTGAGGCGCGAACCGGAAAAGCGTCTGCCGATCACAATTCGACAACGGATTATGAAAGAACGGATAACGCTCGAAACACACGGCTTCTTCCTGATGTAAGAGGTGAGTCTCCTCTTTGTTTAGGTTGTTTTGGCATCGACATCATGCTAGCGCGCAACGTTCTGTGACTCTTAAAAAAACAGTAAAAATGGTGAGAAACACTGGCAGCGAATGAGTTAACAAACCTCCTCGGAAGTCGGTCAAACTCACCCGCTCAAACCCCGCCCACTGCTGTGACGGACGTAGGAGGAACCATAGATATGTATATAAACACGTGTTTATATACATATCGATGGGAGGAACGCTAACCAACCCCGTGCGCCCTCACGGACACCGCAGGAAAACATTGCTCCCGCTCTCTTGGCTTCACTTTGTTCAAAGGAGCCAGTCTTTTGAACGGCTCTTTCAGGTAAACGCCCGACTAATGAACGGCTCCCATGAAAGAGCCATAAATCCCATCACTACAGAACACTGAAGTTAGTAAAGATTAGTGTGCGTTCATTTCAACTAAATCAATCTGAACAATAAAACATGATCTTTAACGTCCGTGAGGTTCATTTTGTGTGCGTTAGAAAAACAGGTTTCACCTTATTAACTAAATTATTAGTAGAGTTTCACAAAAACCAGCAGCAGCTCTCAGAGGTTAAGGACCAAGTTCACTTCTTTTTTTTATCTGCATCTCTCTCTAGTAGCAATGATGCCTCCGAACTCATACTCTGGAAAAAATGCTCTGGCGCTCCTGTTTCAGGAGCTAGAATGAAACTAAATCAGAGGAGAGCTTCAGACGACAGGATCTGGAGTCTTTATTTCCTGATATCTGGACATCTCTCCTCTGATTGGCTAACAGTAACACGACTCCACTGACTCTGTTTGCTCTTTAACGTTGATGTTTTACCTCCACAAATAACACAAGCCTGGAGGAGTTCTGCTGTGTGGTGAAGTTGCTATTGCTAACGGTTAGCTTCTACTAGCTGAGACAGTGTTTTCCCTAGGAATTTTTCAGCTGTGGTGGTGGGGGGGGGGGGGGGATTATGACACGTCTCACTTTTATGTTAATATTGTTTTATTTGATGCACTCCACTTTGAACTGCACCAATCCAGCAATTGCTGCATTTTAATAACGAGTATTAAAGGTGAATACACCAATTTTTGCACAAGAATAATTTTTGTTTTAAACTCTCAGTGACACACTTTGCAGGGGGGTTGGCATTTAATTTTTCTTGGTGTCTGGAAAAACATCTCCTTTTGCCTCCCTTTATTTGACTTTCTGCCCCTTTATTTTGGTCCAAGATCATTACTGGGCTGGCCCTGTTAAACACGTCCTACACCCCTGCTTAGTAGACTTTTTACAGAGCAGCCTCATAATTGAGATTAAATATTTTTTATCACAATAGTAAAGGAACTATTACAGAACAAGTTTTTCAGTAAAATCAAAACATTAATATTTAAGTGCATGAATTAATGCATCTGAACTCATGCAGTAGGAACTAGGAAATATGAAGTACTAGAACCATTTTATTTTAATTTGATTAAACTGATTTTTTCCTAATGTTGTTGGCATTTTTCCCCCACACAGTTAAACAAAACAATGTTGATTAAGCTGTGTGTGTGTGAGAGAGAGAGAGAGATAGAGTTAAAATAATAAAAAAATAAACAAAAAACCCGACCGGAGCGGAGGCAGTGACCGACGCAGCACGAGCCGTTTTCAGCTCTGTCTTGTCAGATCCACCACGTACGTCACGAAAAAAGTAACTTTAAATATTCAGCCGAAAAAGAGGCGAGCTGAAGAAAACCTAGGGAGTTCTGAAGAAATGTGAGCAACAGTGAAGCAAGCACAGAGAGATCCGTTACTGTCTGTGTGTGCGTGGATGGGCTGGACGGACTGAACTCCCGGCTGCAGTTTTGTGTGTAGGGAGGGGCGGGCGCTCTATGTGACTGGCCAATCACAGAGCGTGAAGACAGTCAGTTACCCAATGAGGATTTTCCTTCAGCACGATTACAGACATTTACGAGTTTTACTCGTTTCATGCTCGTATTCGTCAAAAATGCTTTATCCGTACCGGATACTCGTCTGAAATGAGTGTCCGGCTCATCCCTAGCTGTAACGACCCTGCCCTGCCTCCTCCTCCTCCTTGCTGCCTGCCGGCTGTGATCACAAGCAACAACATATTTCCCGCTGCTTCTTTGGGAAACGGTGCAAAAAATATTTTCAATTCAACTTGGGATCTTGTAGGCGTGGCGCTGGGATTTCAGCCGTGGCGGGCCGCCACGGCTACGCCGATGTAAGGGAAATATCACACCCTGTCCTGTCTCCCCTTATGGTTTAGTCTTGTGTCTGTTAATTGCTCCCACCTGCCTCTCGTTTTCCAATCACCCAAGTTCCCAACCCTCTTGTATTTAAACCCCTTCAGTTCTTTGTCTCGTGTTGGGTCATTGTTTCTGTGTCGGCGTGTCTCATTAAAATCCTTTTGTGAGGCCATTCCTACTTGTCTCCCTGCCTGCCTTTGCACCCGCGTGTGGATCCTGCCTCCACTTCACTCACCGACACGCGTCTGACAGAATGATCCAACCTGTTAAAGGATCCAGCGGGAAGATTCTCCCCTGGGAGTGCCTGCTCCAGTTCCTATCCTCTGACCACCGGCCGGCTTCTCCTCCTCCGGCGTCGCACCGACGCCGTCACCGACCCTCAGCCTCGGCGTTCCTCTCCACCCTCCCGGAGCCAGATGAGAGGTTGGACCGGGAGACGCTTCCGGATCACTCCAGCTTCATGCGCACCAGACTGGCTGTGTGCTTCCCCGGAGCTGGC